ATAAGAAATAAGAAAAAGAATGAGCTGGGCGTGGTGGCGCACACCTGTAATCCCAGCACTCAGGAGGCTGAGGCATGAGGATTGCTGTGAGTTCAAGACCAGCCTGGGCTACATAGTGAGTTCCAGGTCAGTCTCAACTACATAATGAGACCCTGTCTTTAAAAAAAAAAAAAAGAAAAGAAAAGAAAAAGAAAAAGATTGAAGCCACCTCAGAAAAAAGCAGAGCAGAGACCACATTTCTAGTGCTTTTGAACACCTGGATCCAGCCATACCTAAAGTCACATTCTTTTAGACATTATATTTATGTGAGTCATTCTTTTCATGTCCATTCAGTTTCTGTTTCTTGCACCTTAAAGGCCCTAACCCCACTAGCTGTGAGGTGATGTAGTCAAAGCATGCAGCATAGCACATCCTGGCTGCTCTGTAACTACATAGGAATCTTTACTCTTATTAAGACAAAGGGTTCTAAAGTAAGCCCTGCCCAGGGTCCTGGCCAGTGAGACATCTACTGAGGGACCCAGGCCATCACCATACCCATGGCCACAGGGACCATCCCAGCAGAAGGACTCACCCTCCTTTCTTTGGCCTGCTGTGCCTCCTCTCACAGGGGACCTGGTGACCCTCCAGGCACTGTCAGCTCTTGGCCCCTCCTGGGTCCTCCGAGGGATCATCACGGTGAGCTCGTCCTGGCTGGGGACTTCGTCCCACCTCTCAACAGCGTGCCAGTCCTGCCAGGAAAGGGAGTGAAATGCTTATTATTGGGAGAAGACGGTCAAGGACCTATACTCTCAGCCTGAGGGTGGATGGTCTCAGGGGACCTGGCCTTTAAAGGCACTTGCTGTATGCCTGGCAGTGTGCAGGTTCATGGCAGGAGGTCCCTTCCACCAACACTGGGAAGGAGAGCGTCCACTGAGACCCAGAAGGGGGCCTAAGTCACACAGCCCGGAACTGTGGGTTCTGATCCCAACCCCACCACTGTCCAGCTGTGTGGCCAGCAAGTGGCTCCCTCTCATCCCCAAACAGGCCATAATAGTCTCTAGATCAGAAGGTGGGAGGAGCCTTCCCGTCCTTTGTACAGTGCCAGCCACACGGTGTGTGCCCAGGCTAGGTGGTTTTAGTTCTGTTTGGTTTTTTAGACGGATTCTCACTATACAGCCACACACTAGCCTTGGACTTGTTATGTAGCCCAGGCTGGCCTCAAATGTGCAATGCTCCTGTTTCAGCCTCCAGAGTGCTGGGATTTATCAGGCACAGCTACAGGCCAGGTGACTCATGCTGAGCCCCTCACTTCTGGTCACTTTCCTCTGTGGGGAGGGCTGGCTCTCACAGGGTGGGCCTGGCTCGCCTTCCCAGTGACAGCCCCTCTAAGCATCATGCTGAGGGTAGCCCCAGTCCCTCCCAGCCCTGCCCCTGGCTCTGGGACTCAGTGCCAGCACTGGTCACGGGCCCAGCAGTGTGACCCAAGGTTTAGCCGGTCTTTTCAGTGGAGGCCACGCCTAACACGCAGGCCTCTGTGACCCGAGAGTGCTTGGCAGTAGAAGCCGGCAGGTGACTCATCCAAGCTCCCTGTCACCTGAAACCCCCTCCTCCACCTTCCGGAGACTCCTGCCCCTCGGGATGGTCAGGCTCAGTTTCCTGCTGTGAGAGGCTCTACCCTGCTCCAGAGGTTTAGGGATCCCAGGACTAGGGATGGAGGAGTGAGCTACTCTTATCACCCTGGCCCTGTCTCTGGCCCCCAACTCACCACAGAAGATGAGTTGCTCGTATCATCAGGGGTGTCACTGTCGGGGCCAGAGCTGGTGTCAAAGCTGGGGCTCTTGTCACAACTGTCACACAGAGAGGAAGCCGGGCTTTCCAAATAGAGCACTGCCTCGAGGTCCCCACGCCCACTCCCGAGAATGGCTTTGGGGCCCTCGTCAGAGAGCCCTGCTGTGCAGGACGAGTCCCTGGGGGGAGAAACAGACCCATGACTTTCCCCAAGGAAGTAACAGGGGATCAGGGAGAAACCCCTGCCCCAGCCAGATACATACAACACACACACATGGGGGCACACACACATGCACTCCACAGGTGCCAGGAATCGGCCTGCTCCTGCAGCAGCAGACCCATGACTTTCCCAAGGAAGTAACAGGGGATCAGGGAGAAACCCCTGCCCCAGCCAGATACATACAACGCACACACATGGGGGCACACACACATGCACTCCACAGGTGCCAGGAATCGGCCTGCTCCTGCAGCATGGGAAGCCACGCTGAGGTCCCCAGAGCGGGGCTCTTTGGATGGATGAAGAACTATGGCTCAGAGAGGTCAAGACTCCGGCCAAGGTCAAGAGCTACAAAAGAGCAGAGCTGGGCTGTGAACCGGATCAACCCAGACCCCGGCCCTCTGTCATCGGAGGAGGGGTGGGGACCCCAAGCTCAGTATGACTTGGGGGATAGGCTCCTGCTAGGCTGGTGGGGATGTGGCCTGGCTTCTAGCTGGCAGTATCCCCAAAGGGACCCACAGATTGGCCCAATAATGGCAGTGGGTGATGGCCACAGAAGAGTTCTGTGGACAAAAAGGTTGGGGACGTATTACATATTTCTTTAGCTCTTCTGTCTAAATTTCACGATGCCACCTGCAAACTAAATGCTCGAAGTCCTGAGGAAAAATGGTCAACTCCATTTATCCCACACTGTCTGAAACATATTTGGTGGCAGTTTAATAGCAGAGTCTCCTTTCTTTCTTTCTTTCTTTCTTTCTTTCTTTCTTTCTTTCTTTTTCTTTCTTTCTTTCTATACTGGGGATCAAACTCAGGTCCTTGTGCTTGCAAAGCAGGTGGTGGAGCCACTAAGCTAAATCCCTAGCCTGAGCTTTCTTTTTAAAAACTGAATCAAGGGCCTTTGCATTGAGCAAAATAGGGTCTCACTAAGTCACTAAGTTGCCCAGGCTGTGCTTGGACTTATGATTCTTGTGCTTCAGCCTCCCAGAGTGCTGGGATTACAGGTGTGCACCACCACACCTCGATAGCAGAACTGGTTTTTTTTGTTTGTTTGTTTGTTTTTTAAATAATCCTGCCCTATAAGGAGCACACATTCCCAAAGTAATTTGATTTGATTCAAAGCCCTCACACCTTTTTTGGGGGAATCAAATCCAGGCCTCAAACATGTGCTGCCACTCAGCCACACCCCTCTACCCCCAGCCCCAGACTCAACCCCTCTTACTTCGTGAACAGGGAAAATGAGGCATAGAAAAGTGCAATGCCCTGCCCAAGGTCCCACAGCCCATGGGAGACACATGTGGATCTGGGACCCAGGTCTGTGGACCCTCAGGCCAAGGCCTCCTGCGGTCCCATGACTCGGAAGAGGGTTCAGGCCAGTACAGGCTTGTGGTGGAGGGACCCAAAGCCTGGAAGGGCAGGGGTGACAGCAGGTGCCCCGGATGAGGGGACTGTGGGCTCTTAAAGCAGCACAAAGGGAGCCAGGAATGTGACAGCTGCTCACACCTACTGGAATGGCTGAGCCAGGTCCTGGGGAGTCGGAGGGAGGGCAGAACCTTCAGGAAAGCCAGTGAAGTGCTAGGGACAGTAAGCTCAGAGACTCAGCAGCAAAAGGGGGCGGTCCAATCTGAGTTCTCACAGGTGGGCCTGAGGAGGATGCCCGCTGCCGGCCTGTGCCCAAAATGCCTGGTCTGAGCACATGACCCATGCCAGCAGCCACCAGACAGATGCTGGGACCTTGCAGGGGTAGGGTGGAGAGGTGAAAGCACCCTTCCCTGGGCTCTGGGGCTCTACCCACCTCTCCGGCCCCTGCCTGAGGCCCGGGCCCACCACAGGCTGGCAGGTGGAGGCTGCAGTGCTGAGCGTGTCCTCAGGGGCAGGCGGACAGCAGGGCAGGTCGCAGTAGGGTACCTCGGCACTTGGAGGGCTCCCTGGCTCCTTGGAGAGAGGAGGCAGCTCAGGCCCACGTGGGGTCCCCTCCCCTCACAGCCCTCCCAAGGGCGGGGTGGGATCTCCAGACATCTCCTCCTGGGATCTCACCCGCTCACCTGCTCAAGGAGAGCTGCCGTAGGGCTGGAAGGGCCCTTTGGACCTGAGCTGGGGGCTGGCAGGGGTCTTGGTGGGCGCTTGTGGACAAGTGTATATATGGGCGGGCTTAGGTGCAGGTACTGGTGTTCATAAAGGCCCGTGTGCCTGGGCATGTATGCACACAGGCATGGAAGTGAGTGTGCAAACACGCATGCGCGTGTAAGCAGGCCCGTCAGGGACTCCTGCACATTTCTGCAAATGTCAAAAGTTCACTTAGGAGCGTATGCACATGTGTGTACCTGAGAACGTGAGGTACCCACGGCTGGGGATTTAGCTCAGCGGTTCTACCACCTGCCTGGCAAGCACAAGGACCCAAGTTCGATCCCCAGTACCAAAAAAAAAAAAAGAATGTGAGGCACCCAGAAGGGCCCCATAAAGTATCAGTGGTGCCCTGAGTCCAACGGGAGGAAGGACGATTACACCAGCCTGGAGCACAGGGAGTCTGAGGGAGGCAGAGCCAGCCTAAGGAGGAGATGGGAAAGAGTGACCCTGGGGGAGATATTTGCCTCTCCCAGCCCCAGGGGTGACGATAGGCCCTTCAGCTCTTGGCTCCTGTCTCCCTCCTGCCCGTGCAAGGCCACACCTGTGAGGCTGGTGCCCAGCTCATGGGGGAATGGCTGCTCGCCTCCAGGAAGGCTCCCCCACTCCCCCCACCTGTTGGAGTGGCAGGGCCCTCCCCTGATGGTGGGAGACCGGGGCATGGCACCCTGCGTCCCGCCTCCTCTCAGATTACCTGGGCAGCACGCTCCAAAGGCAATGGTGGTAGCTGGCGGCTGTCAGCGCCCTCGTCCCCGGGGGGCTCCGACTCAGGTCCCCGCACTGCCGCCCTCCCAGGCCCGACTCTGGGCCGTGGTGGTGGCACCAGCAGAGGCAGTGGAAACCCTAGAGGGCCGGCTTCAGGAGCAGGGGCCCCTCATTACTGTTTCATAAGCCAAGGCCCAGCCAAGAACAATGCGGGACATGAAACCCAGGAATCTGATCCCAGCCGCTCACCTGAGAGGCAGGCCGGGTGGGAGCCTGGGCACCAGCTCCCTGGGGACCCTGGAGCCCAGAGTCCAGGGCCGAGGCTGCAGCCTGGCCAGTGCCCTGTGGGCAGAGCTTCCTCAGGATCCCCGTAGGCCGCCAATGGCTGGGCTGAGGATGGGTCTGGGTGTCCACAGCAACATCCAGGCTGGGAGGCCTGCCTAGGTTTGGTTTCACCCCGTGCCCTGCAGCCAGATTCTGATCAGGGCCCAGCAGCAGGAGGTGTCAGATCCACAGCCGGTCCTGGCACCATGGCCACCCAGGGGACAGGACAGCATGAGAAAGGAGCAGCTTGCCAGGGGACCCGGCCCAGGAGGACAGAGAGCCTGACACATACCTCAGTTTCAGCCCGGCCCTGTCATGCCCACACCCAACTCAACCTATCCTCAGTCCCCAGCTCTGATTTCCTGTCTGGCGGTCAGCGTGGGCCCTGGCCCTATGCAGGCCTGGGTTCGGTCCTGGCTCCTCCACATCCCAGCTGAGTGACCTGGCTCAGAGGTTTCCCTCTCTGAGCCCTGTTGTCTTGGAAATAGAGGCAGAAGGGTGACCAAGACCTTGGCCAAGTGACTCATCCTGTTTGTGCCTCAGTTATGTTTATGTGTAAAACTGGCATGATAGGAGCCCCCTTCCAGGGTGTTAAGGGAATTAAATGAGCTGGTATTGCTTAGAACAGCTTACAGTAACATCTGGTCTGTACATCTTAAATATAATAAATGATGAAAAAACATTAAATTGAATTGTATGCATATTAAATTGGTAGAATAATGGCAAATACAATTAAAAATAAATCAAGGGCCGGGGATTTAGCTCAGTGGCACTGTGCTTCACAAGGGCAAAGTCCTGAGTTTGATCCCTGGTACAAAAAAAAAAAAAAAAAAAAAAAAAAAAAAAAAAAGAATAAATAAATTGAGCCAGGGATGGTGATGCACGACTGTCATCCTAGCATTTTGGGAGGCTAAGGCAGGAAAATCAAAAGTTTGGGTCATACCAAGATGGATTATGTAAAGGTACAAATTTCCAATGATGAATGTCATTACATTGTATAGCTTAAATGTACCAATAAAATCGATTAATTAAAAAAAAAGTTTGGGTCTTGCCTGGGCAACTTATCAAGACCTTGTCTCAAAATAAAAAATAAAATAAAAATTTAAAGGGCTAGGAATACAGTTCAATGTGAAGGCCCTAGGTTCAATCTCCAGTGCGGCAACCAATCAACTGAAAAGGGAGGTATGGGGCTGGCCTAGGGTCCCCTCCCTCCCTCTGAGCCCTCAGGAGACTTGTGACCAGTCAGGGCCAAGTGACATCCAGGGCCCACCCCTCACCCACTCCTGGCCTCTAGGGGATCTGGCCCTGAGCAGAGCAGGGGCAGGGCTTCCTGAAGCTGTAGCTCACCAGGCATTTTGCTGACCAGCTGGGAAAGAGCCAGTCATTCTTGGAGGGGAGAGAGGACACCCTGGGCTATTTCTGCACATTCTAGGGTAGCTGAAGATGCCAGACTGGGATCCAACCCTGCTTCTTAGCACCCCGGTGTGAGAAGGGATCCAGTGAGAACTGCTCAGCTTGGTCAAGGATGTACAATGCCTGCCCCCTCTGCGGATAGAACCCGGGGGGCGCTGAGCCCCATTATCAGATCTTCTCTTTTTAAAATATTTTTTGTACCAGGGATCAAACTCAGGATTTGTGCTTGCCAGGCAGGCATGGTGTAACGGACCTAAATCCCTCTTTTTAAAATTTTGACACAGCGTCTTATTAAAGTATCCAGGATGGCCTTGAACTCACGATGTTCCTTCCTTAGTGTCCTGAGTAGCTGGGATTACAGGCTTTCACTACAGCACCTGGCAGGGGGATTTTGTTGTCATCGTTTTATTTTTTGAGACAGGGTCGTGCTGTGTAATTCAGGCTGGACTTGAATTCACTATGTAGCCCAGGCAGGCCTTGAATTTGTTATAATCACCCTGCCTCAGCCTCCTGAGTGCTAGAATTACAGGAGTGCACCACCACACCTGGCTCAACAGGGAATACTTTTTTTTTTTTTTTTTTTTTTTTTTTTTTTTTTTTTTTTTATTTTGGTTTTTTGAGACAGGGTCTCACTATGTAGTTGAGACTGACCTGGAACTCACTATGTAGCCCAGGCTGGTCTCGAACTCACCGCAACTCTCCTGCCTCAGCCTCCCGAGTGCTGGGATTACAGGAGTGCGCCACCACGCCTGGCCTAGGGAATACTTTTAAACACACAGAATTTTTTGATTTTCTGTTTGACTCCCTTGATTATAGGAACAGCTAGGTATGCTGGCACATCCTATAATCAAGCATTCTTGGGAGGCTGATGCAAGAGGATCATAAATTTGAGCCAAGCCTAGGCAATTAAAGTGAATTAATGAGACCCTGTCTCAAAATAAAAACTTAAAGGAGTGGGCTGCATGTGTCACTCAGTGTGAAAGCCCAGGGTTCCATCTCCAGGTATCACAAAAACAAACAAAAAGATAGGATCAAGTGGGGCCAAAGTTCCAGAGTCCCTGGAGGAAGACCTAGCTAAACTTGGTTCTGTGCACACTGGGTGTGGTAATGCACAAACGCAATCCCAGCACTCCAGGGTCAGAGGCAAGAGGATCGCTGCAAGTTCCAGGCCAGCATGAACTACAGAGGGAGATGCTGTCTCAAGGAAAACAAAACAAAACAACAATAACAACAAAACCCTTGGTTCTCAGGAGACCTGGAGAGATGGGAGAGAGGACAACCCTACCTCCTCAGCAGCTCCCAAAGCCGGGCACCTGGTTCCTCGGGGCAGCACAGGAGGAATCCACCGACATTCCTTCCCTACCTAACCTTGGCGCATCAGGTGATGGGGCCCAGAGTGGTGGCCGGGTGGGCAGGGAGCGGGACAGAAAGTCCTGTAGAGGTCCCTGCCATCTTCTGGGGCCAGGCCTAATTGTTTTTTAAATCTTTTTTTTTTCCCTCCTGGGTCTAGAGGATGGAATCCAGGGCCTAGGATGGACGGACGTGCTAGGCAAGGGCTCTGCCACTGAGCCACACCCCAGCCTAGGGGCGGTGATCCCATCGGGTGCACAGGGAACTGTGTCTCCTGGAGTTGGCCCTCGGTCCTGCCCCCACTCGCCCTCAGTGTCAGCAGCCCTCAGGGGAGGCATCCGACAATGGCAAGCTAAGGATCTGATCCCGAAACCATCTCTCCCTGTCCAGGATGGAGCTGGGTCTGCCTGCTGTGACCGGTGGTTCTGAGCTGACTCCTCCGGGTGCCAGGCCCTGGTTCCATCCTCATCTCCCAGGGAAAAACGTCCTGATTCCCGGGTCTCCCCAATTCTCACCCATAAGCAAGACTTTTGCCAGTGCCAGATCCTGATGGTGGGGGAGGCTTTGTCTCCTGTCACACTCCCACCCCAAGTGGAGGCCTGGGCCATAGATAACCTCCTGGCCTCTGTACTGGGTCACACTCACCGTGCCCATCACAGCGACTATGAAGACTGCAGAGTGGTCTCATGAGCACTCCCTGGTTTAAAATCCTTAGCAGTTCCCCACGATTCTCAGGATAAAATCCAAAGTCCTCAACTTGTCCCTGAAGCCCCCCTGGCCCTGTCACTTACCCTCATGCTACTTGCTATTCTCTTATGAAATTTATTACAGCCAGGGTGAAGTTATCATCTGGACGATTACTTTCTCTTTTTTTGGGGGGTCGGGTACCAGGGATGGAACTCGGGACCCTGCACTTGCAAGGCAGGCAGTGGCACCGAGCTAAATCCCGGGCCCCTATAGACGATTACTTTCTTACTCCCCACTTCCCTTGTTGCCCTCCAGCCTCAAGAAGCCAGGGATGTGTTTGTCTTTATCACTATTCCCCTGCACCCTGCACAGCACCCGCACATTTTCAGCACTTATTCAACATACAGAAAAATGTGTGATGACTCAAGCTCTCAGGTGGGGGACAGCGGGCCCTAGGCTGGACCTCAGGCCCCTCTGGATCCAGGCTCCTCCCGCCCCATGCTGGGAGAAGGTCCTGTGTTGGGAGCTGGACACAGAGGCCTCTCCAGCATCTGTTTCCTGAGCTCGGGGCGAGGGAAGGGGAGCTGTCATTGGAGGTCTCAGAATCTCAGGTAGAAAGGAATCTCTAAGGGGTCTGTAGTTGTCAGGAAGGGGGAAGAGAAGAAACTACACAGAGGGGTTGAACTCAGGACCTTGCACTTAGGAGGCAGGCAGAGGCACCACCGAGCTAAATCCCCCACCCAAAACACCCAACCCTTACAATTGAAAGTGAGAGCAATTCTTTTTTTTGAGGGGGGCACCAGGGATCAAACTTGGGACCTTAAGTTTGTGAGGCAGGCAGTGGAACCACGAGGCTAAATCCCCAGCCCATAGATTTCTTCTTTCATTTCTACCCTCTGAACATGATCTTTTGTTTGCTTTGTTTTTTTGAGACAGGGTCTCACTATATAGTTGAGACTGACCTGGAACTCACTATGTAGCCCAGGCTGGTCTCGAACTCACAGCGATCCTCCTGCCTCAGCCTCCCTAGTGTTGGGATCATAGGCGTGCGCCACCACACCCAGCCTGAACATGATCTTAATTTTCTGTTTATGGTGATGATGTAAAGGTTTGTTTCATATAAGTGAAAAGAGGATGTTGATTTTGGGTCTCATGGTGTTGTGGCTCAGTGGCAGAATATGTGCTTAGCATTCACAAGGCCCTAGGTTCGATCCCCAGCACCCTATAAAAGGATGCTGATTGAAACAATATAGTAATAGATGAGATGAGACTGCAGTAAGCAGGAGGATGGTGATGGAAGACTGGGAAATATTAACAAGGTCCACTCACCACATTTTACAGGTAGGAAAACTGGACCAATGACCAGGAGAAAGCACCTGGCTTCATCTGCAAGTTCATGCCCCATTCCAGACTGCCCCGGAAAGCAGGCCCACCTGGTGCCTTGCTCGGTGGCCCTCCTCTGGGTGGAAGCAGTTTTGACAGCGGCTCTGGGAAGGCACGCTGGTCTTCAAGGGTTCACACGGTGCCTTCGCAGCCATCTCCTCCATATTGGTAAACCAGGCCAGAGCAGCTCCCACAACCTGCTAATGACTCTGCAGGGAGGACCCAGGTCTGGGCAAGGAGCAGATAACTGGCTGGATAACTCAGCTCCAGTTTCCCCACTCCAGACAAGGACCAAGATACAAGGTTATCCATCCACTCATCAGTTTATCCACGCACTCAGCAAACACTACAATGCCTACTAAGCACCCAGATACACTGCCAAGCATTTGATGTGTGATTTCTCGTACTTACTGCAGCGTTGTTTAAAGTGTGTTCTAATGACCCTACATTACATTCTTCTGGGTTGCTCATAAGAATGCAGATTTCCAAGCAGGTATGGTATTGCATGCCTATAGTCCCAGCTACTTAGGAGGCTGAGGCAGGAGGATCACTTGGGCCTTGGAGTTCAGAATCAACAGGGCAACAAATAAGACCACTTTGTCTCTAAAAAAAAGAAACAAACAAAAAACAAAGCAGATTTTGCATTCTTTCTCCTGATCCACCCAGTCGGACTCTCCAGGCACAAGGCCTGGGAATGTGCTGTTTAAACAAAGTCCCTAGCCTCAGTGATTCCAATGCACTCCAAAATGTGGCTGCCTCTGCCTGATAGCACCTTGGTATTGCAGTTTAAATTAATGGCAATTTCAGATCAGGCAGCTAAGGCTCAGAGAGGTTCCTTAACACCCAAGGCCACACTGCTGAGCTAGATTGAAATCCGGTCTTTGGTAGGTATGGTGGCTCACACCTGTGCTCCCAAAAGGCTGAGGCAGGAGAATGGAGTGTTTGAGGCCAGCCTGCTCTGCACAGTGAGACCCTATCCCCAGAAAAACCAACCAGTCAACCAACCAAAACCAAATCCAGGTCTGTGTGCCTCCTACTCTCGGAGTTGGAAGGGAGGGACATAGGGTCAAAGTGCCAACTCACACAGGTCCCTTGAGAAACAGCGGGTAAGCAAAGGCTGGCCAGGTATTCCCAGAGTTGAGGTCAAAGTCTTAGACAAAAGCCAGGCGTGGTGGCGCACACCTGTGATCCCAGCATTCAGGAGGCTGAGGCAGGAGGATTGCTGAGTTCGAGACCAGCCTGGGCTACATAGTGAGTTTCAGGTCAGACTCAACTACATAGTGAGACCCTGTCTCAGAAAACAAAAGAAAAATCTTAGACAAAAATGTCTGTGACAGAGCTTAGCCAATGAGAAACCCTGTTGTTGTCTTGACCTGAGCCAGGGCTCCAAGGTCCAAGCCCTGAGTGACTTAAGGATCCCCCATTCACACGGAGTCCTGGCGGGGCAGGCACCCAACATTCCCAACACACAAACACCTACCACACCCGGGCCCTCCCCTACCCATCCTGCCTGGAGAATTTCTTCCAAAACTCCCAAAGCTGAGGCTTTGTCACCAATCTCAACAGAGCGCTGAGGAATTTCGCATCCTCCCCAGGGGCATCGAGGGGAAAGCTCCAGCTCCTTTACCTGGAGAGGGGCGCCCCGAGGGGTCAAGGCACGATGAGATGTGGCATCGCCCGCCCCTCGTTGGCACCAGGGTCACCAATCCTTCCTCGGAGGTCATCTCCCCACCTCGTTTCCCTGCCCACCAACCTGGGCGGTGCTTTTCCGTCTGGACACATAAAAGAGCAACGCCTTGGACAGAGAGCCGCCGCCCTTCTCCCTGGGGACGGGGGTGGGGGGAGACACTCTACTCCACGTGACCCTTGCTGCTCCTGTTTCCTCCCCCAACACCCCAACAAGTTGGCAGAATCCTTCCCTGAAATACGTGTTAGTTGTGGAAATAATAACGAAAAACCTTCAGCAGATGCGGATGCCCCGCCCGGAGGATGGACCCCATCCTGCCCTGCAGCCAATTCCTCCCGGTATCCTACCCCTCCCTCGGTCTTCCCTCCCCGCCTGCTCTTTCTGCCACCCCGTACTACACTAACCTCGGCTCGGGTTTCCAAGCGCCTGGGCTGTGGCTGTGGGAGTGCCAGGGTCACGGCCTCTTTTTTTTAACAATGAATCAAAACGTTGCCCGGGAGTTGGGCGGGAGACCACGCCCCTGCGGCTCTCGCATAGGCTCTCTCTAAGAGCTTCATTTACATGAAGACTGTGGGATTGGGCAAGCGGAGGATAAGGGGCGGGGCGGAGGCGGGCGGTGCCCAGATGCTTTAGAGCGCGGGTCTCGCCGCCGCACGCTTAGCCTGGGCGGCCCCCATCCCTGGCCCAGACGGTGTCCCAGGGGTCCTGCAATTGCTAGCAGGGCGGATCTGGCCTCTTCTCACTCTTCCGTTGCTTCACTCAAGCTCCAATTCGCTAGGCTGGCTTTAGCCGGGACCTTGGTCTAGAAATGCAACCTTCGTGCTTGTTTGCCGGATAAAAGTATCTTCTAGGATGAAGAAAAACAGTTTCAAGTAAAAAGCAAGATGTGAGCTGGGCAGTTGTGACCCCAGCACTCCGGGAGGCTGAGGCAGGAGGATCAAAATTTCGAGCCCAGCTTGGGCAATTTAGCAATCTAATGAGATCCTGTATCAAAATAAAAAATAAAAGGGTTGGGGATATAGCTCAGTCGGAAGGCCCTGGATTCAAACTCCAGTAAAAATAAATAAGAAGAGCTTAGGCACCTGCTACATGCTGAACGGATGCACAGTACTAAAGCCGAACTACTGTGTTAGTATTCCAGACGGGGCCTCCAGGACCAGCAGCCATGTCTGCCCAGGGTCTTCAGTATTCCACACACTTCTATTTCCACTGCTTTGGAATCACAAACGCGCCCCTCCACACACAACTGGCTCTTTTAAGGGCCCATTTATTTGGCACTGTCTACACGGCAGCTTCTATTCCAGATCTTCACGCCCTTAAAGACACAGCTGTAACCTGTAGCACCAAGTGCCAAGGTCTTCATTTCACATCAGCTGAAGATCAGAGAGGTTAATTTACTTACGTGCTTGTGGGCTGGGGATTTAGCTCATTGGTTCCTCTGCCTTCCTCCCAAGTGCAAGGTCCTGAGTTTGATCCCCGGTACCAAAAAACAAACAAAACAAAACTTACTTGTTTGCCAGTGTCACACAGCTTAGTAAGTGGCAGAGGCGGGGCTCGAACACTTTTATTTACTAATTTACTGGTGCATGTGAGGGGCATGGCATGGGGGGAAGAAAATGTGAATAACATGTGGCTCCTTCCAGGGTGAGGTCCCATTGGCTTGTAGGAGAGACAAACCCTTAAGCAGGTCAGAGAAGCTGAGCATGGAACTGGCTAAAACACAGCTTCTGAACAAGGACAATGAGCTTCCTGTTTCATCTCCTCCTGTAAGCAAGACAGAGAGGCCAGTGACAGCATGTTCAACGTCTGGCTGGGTGACCTGGAGATTTCTGTCCCTCTCTCAGCCTGGGACAGACTGGATATTTGGGTGCCTAGTTCAGGGTGTGGCCGCAGCACTCTTCCCCACCAATCAGTAAACCCTGAACCAATTCAGGATGTCCCCTCCGACAGCCTCATCCACCAAGTATCCACCAGGCGTCCACCTCGTCAGCTGTGTGTGCTGAGCGTGCGTCTGGCACAAAAGCCCACATCTGCCTGTGTGGTGCTTATGTTAATGGAGAAAAACCCACCCAAGCTGAGATCGGCCAGCGAACATGCAGCATGCTGCACACACAAGAAGAAAGTGGAGAAAGGGAAAGCGCAGGTGGGCAGGGAAGGCACACTGAGGTGGCTGGTGACGCTGGACAGAGACCAGAGCAGTGTCTCGGCTGGCTGAGGGGTCAGAAGGTGAGGCTGGGTGGAGAGCAGGAGGGGCAGGTGGAGGAGTGGAAGGGCCTGGCGAGTGCCTGAGCTCTCTCCTTGGCCGTGGAGCTGCCGGGATGGTCCCCTTGTGCTTGTTGTTTTTTCTTTTTCCAGTACCGGGGGTCAAACGCAGGACCTTGAGCTTGTGAGGCAGGCATGGTGCCACTGAGCTCCATCCCCGGCCCTTGGATGGGCCCCTTGTGACACAGGAGGAGGGTGGGTGGCAGGCAGCAGCTGGAGCTGAGGAGGAGAGGACTGAGAGGCGCGGGGCGGAGGGGCTAAGGGGGCAGTGGGAGGAAGTCTTATCTCGTTCTTAGTAACCCAGGCGGTAGTAGCCCGCTTTGCCCAGACTGTAGGCACCCTCCCAGTGCATGCTTGTGACGGTGCCAGCCATCAAGCAGCTCCGTATCCCGTCATCTTACTGGGGAGGGGGCTTGAGCCCAGGGCCTTTACACTGAGCTCTATCCCTCGTACCTTATTAAATTTTTATTTTGAGACAGGGTCTCCCTAAGTTGCTAAGTTACCCAGGCTGGGCTTGAACTTGTGATTCTCCTGCCTCAGCCTCCATATTACCAAAGGGAAACTCAGGCTCAGTGAATGGTCACTCCATGACAGTCTGGTGTAAGAAGTACCCTCCAGAGCTCTGAGGGCTGGCTCGGGGGTTCGAGGTGGCAGCCAGGGCAGAGCCAGCACTTGATACCATGGAGTTGCACCCTCAAATCCCCCTTCTCTTCTAAGGATTCTGAATGTGTTCATCTCCACACCTTCGCTCCTGCGCTGTCTGTCCGCCTCAGCTGCCCACCCTGTTCTCAGAGATCTGGGACAGGGGAGTGATTTCTGATAGTCCTGGCCCGGCTGTACCCTGCTGTGTCCCCTGGTAGGGAGACACAGTCATACCAGCCTGCAGGCCCACAAGCCTGTGGGAGAAGCTGAGACCCTGGCCAGGCAAGGTAGAGGTGTGGGGCCTATGGGCCCATGAAGCAGGGGCAGGCGGACAGGGTTCTACCTGGGTCTTCTGGGCTGACTCCAGGCCCATGGCTACCTAAGAAGTGAAGGTCCAACATGGCCAGGCTTGCTTTCCTGGAGGAGCCAGATTGTTGTTGCTGTTCTTCTTTTGTTTGTGGTACCTCGGATCGAACTTGGGTCCTCAAGCTTACGAGTCAGGTGGCGGAACCACTGAGCTAAATCTCTGGCCCAAAGGCTCGCTTTCTTTCTTTCTCTCTCATTTTTTTTGGGGGGTGCCAGGGTTTGAATTTGGGTCCTCAAGCTTACGAGACAGGCAGTGGAACCACTGAACTAAAACCTCTGGCCTGTATTGTTTTGCTTTTGAGACAGGGTCTCACTATGCAGGCCAGGCTGGACTACACTCACTCACTATGGGGCCCAGGGTGGCCTTGAATTCACAGTGATCCTCCTGCTTCAGCCTCCCCAGGACTGGGGTTACAGGCTTGTGCCACCATGCCCAGCAAATGAATTTTTTGTACTGGGGATTGAACGCAGGACCTTGCACTTGCGAGGCAGGTGGCAGAACCACTGAGCTAAATCCCCGCCCCTAAATATTGTTGTTAAATCAAATTGTTTTGAAACACTGTGAGTAAATCCGAACTAACCTCCAGGCCTTTTCTTCTGTGCAGAGGATCTCTGAAAAGGTCGATTTTCATTCCCTCATGATGGTTCAAATGCTCCCTCCTCAGGAAGTCCTCCTGGGATCTGCGGAGATGCTGTGCAGGACTAGAGTTTCTCACAGGTGTCTTTCACCTGTGGACCAGATGATAATCACAACTGGCTTTGGGCACTTCCAGTCTGCCAGTAATCCCTCCACACTGCCACCAGGGAGAGGGCTCTAAAATGACAGACCCCTCCCCAGGGTGAGGCCAGGTCCTCAGCTTGGAGTCGCTTCCTCCTCCCCTGACCCTGTCTGCCCCTTGTCCCCCGACCCCCTCCAGTCCATGTGGAGTCATTTTTCAAGGCTGGCGACCAGGGTCACCCCGTTTAGGAAGCTCTCCAGGATCCCCTGCTGTGTCACACTGTACAGATGTCTGCCCGCTGCCTCCAGGGGGCGTCCGTGTGTCCTTCTGCTCCAGGAGAGGTGGAGGACCATGTCTCATCAGCCACCCCCATTACTTCCTCTGAGATTCTTTCTCCTCTGTCAAATGGAGCCGACGCACACACGTGATGCTGTTGTGCGCTAGTATGTAATTGTCTGCCATAACCACAGTGCTCGATAAAAGCTGTGGGCAGTCCTTTTTTCCTTTTTTGTAGAACTGAGGACTGAACTCAAGGCCTCAAGCCTGAAAGGAAACCGCTGTATCAAAGAGCGACATTCCTAGTTGTTGGTTTTGTTGGTTTTAAACAAGGTCTTTTGATGTACTTCAGGCTGGCCTTGAACAAACTACATAGCCCAGGCTGACCTCAAACTCACAGCGATCCTCCTGCCTCAGCCTCCCAAGTGCTGGGATTACAGGCGTGTGCTACCACACCTGGCTCTTAGCCCTTTTTAAATTTTATTTTGAAACCAGCCTCAGTCTTCTGAATTTATGGGGGTGACACGGGTCCAACATCTCAGAAAGCTCACTGTTCAGCTGGGGACACAGCCCTTCTGGGCCACAACACGCTCCATGTTTAAAAGAAGGAAACCAGAGGGAGAAATGCTTAGTTCTGCCCAGTAGAAAAGTGGGGTCGGGGAAGGCTGCTCAGAGCAGGTGCTTGAGGGTAAGGGTGTGAGGAAGGCTCTGAGATCCACCTGCCACCACCTGAAGGGCTCTGCACTGGATGAAGGGGGCTGTGTTAATCAACCCACTCACAGAACAGGTGAATTCACGCTTGGTGGCACATCCCTGTAACTCCAGCACTCTGGGAGGCTGAGGCAGGAGGATGACAAGTTCCAGCCCAGCCTGAGTAACTCAGCCACTTAGTGAAAGTTTCAAAATTTAAAATAAAAAATTAAACAAAAAGGCTAGGGATGTAGCTCAATTTGAAGGCCCCACTTCCAATCCCCAATAATGAGGGGGGAAAAAGGCAGTGAGTTCTCATCAGAGCCATCTGCACCAAAGGAAGGTCAGCAGCTCACAGTGGGGGTAATGAGCCCTCTGACGTCCCTGGGATGACACAGGCAGAGCCTCCCCAAGAACACAGTCCTCCGGGTTTTGCCCTCACTGCCAGCAAGAAGTAAGGAAACTCCTTAATAAGCCCAGCTCCTGGGAACCACAGCTCCTAGCCATCCCAGCACAAGCCTGATCTGTTAGGTTCCAGCTCCCTGGTGCCTTTAGCACAGCTGGATCCCCTTATGTGTTGGGGTGTGGGGGAGAATCTGCTGCTCATACCGATAACCTTCTCCCCTTGGTTAGCAATACAATTCTCTATTTTCATCCAGGTACTTCATTCCCCAGAATAGCCTGGAACTGACAGGTTCTGTGCAGCTAGGAATCACCTTGGCTTCTGCTTTGCCCACAGATTATGACAAGCACCCAGAGTTTTTAAGACAAGATGGACATCGTGGCGCACACCTGAAACCCCAGCAATCAGGAGTCTAAGGTAGGAAGATAGCCACAAGTTCAAGACCAGCCTGAACTATACAGTAAGACCATATCTCAAATAAAATAAAGCAATAAATAAAGAGGGTCATGTCCTTCATCCTTCCTGACTGAAAAGCAGATGGGATGGTTGTAGCTCAACCAGCCATCTTGGCCCCTCAGGCAGAAGCCATGCATCAAATATGGCACAAAAGAGCTAACAGCCTGCTACAAGCTCTCCAGCCTTCCAGCTCTGGGCTGGTCAGTGCCTGCCAGCCCAAGAACTCCTTTCATGTGAGCTATGTGCTGTCTCCTTAGATACTGTATGCAGCCCTACCTCACCTTCTTAGTGAGGATCCTAGTGGCCCAATTTCAGCCCCAGACAAGGAAGCACCCACGAGCAGGGTGCGGGAGGGGCTCCTAGAAGTCAAGGTCTCCAGAGGGTTCAGACAACACCACCACCACCACCACCCCAGACAGGCCAAGTCGCTGTGACTCAACTTCCCAGGAGCTGAAAGAACAAACATCACACAGGAGGAGTGGATGAAATTTAATAGACACAACAGCCCCAGTGTCCCTGCATGAATGACACTGGAGAGTCAAGAAGGGGTGCTGCTCAGGGTCTCATCTCAGCCTCTTGTGTCATCTTCCTAATGTTGAACAGGGCACAAGGAGGTGGCAGGGACAGAAGGGTCTGAGCTGTGATGGGCAGTCTGAGCCCACAGTCCGCTTTCCAGAGCAGCAAGTGGATACTGGGTTCCAAGAGGCCCTCACTGTCCCCTCAGCCCTGACATTTCTACCACTCAGAGCCCGCCCATGGTACATGGTGTCAAGGCCAAGCACAAACCGCACACACGTGTTGTGTCCCCAGTCTGTGTCCCTGGCAGGATGACTAGGGAGACACCAAGCTGGCTCCACAGGCTCCCTGAGGACATTCCCCGTCTGGGGTTCACACCCAGGTGGCCCAGAGCATGGATGACCAATAGTCTAGGACAGAGAGGTCCCAGCTTCCCAGGCTCAGGCCATGGGGTCACTTCATGTGGTGGGGTTACAGGGACAGCCACGCTGTGACACCACTGGGCCTTGGGGCTCACTCCCCACTGTGCCGTGCCCGGCCCGTCAGTCGGCGCCGCTGGGTCTTGCTGGTGCGAGTGGCGCTCGGAGGCTTCTTGGTGGAGTCCTGGGTCCGCCAGGGATGTTTCCTCTTCACCTTTTTGCGGTTGTGTGCGTGCAGTGATGCTGTGAGGTTGGAGATCCTACAAGGAGGGGGAAGGCTGGTGAGGCTGGGCCTCAGTTTACCCCAGGGAACAAGGCTGGGAGTCTGGCAAGGGGTGAGTGGTCATCTGGCCCACAGAGGGCAAGTCAGGACAGGTCCAAATGCCCAGAGCACCATATGCACCCAAAGACGGCATTCTCTGACTCCAGAGAGCCTGCCGTCCCTACAGCTGCCTGTGCCACCCCCAGGGGCCAGTAGAAAGTGGTTCCACAGGCCTAGTCAGCAATGGCAGCGCTGGAGGTGGGAGCTCAGGAGAAGAAAGGCATGGCTCACCGCTGAGACAGCAGAGGGTCTTTGGACTTCTTGGGTAAGGCTTTGGTTGGCTTCTCCACAGATGACGCCTCCTCCTTCGGCTGGTCTTCAGCCCCTTGCTAAGGAAGCACAGAACAGAAACAGTCATAGAGAGCAGATCGGGCCCGGGCTGGGGCCACAGGAGGCCTTGGGCAAAAGAACCCTGTTGTCTGTACCCGAGCCAGTGTCACACAGAGGACAGTGCTGGCTCCGGACACTCTGCTGCCTCTCACTAGCTCCCAGCAGGCAGAAGGCCAGGAGACAGGATTTGACTTTGCAGAATGATGGACACAACATGGACTGGACTGTTGAGTGCAGGATGGGGATGGGTAAGGACTCAGAAGGTAGTGGCTTCAGGATGTAAGGACCCTGAGGAAATGTGCTTTACCATTACTGCCCATGCAGTCAGCCCCTATCTGGGGGTCAGATTCAACCACCCAGATGGGAAATATTCAGGAAAACACCATTGTGCCTGTACCTAGCATGTGCCCTCTGTATCATTACTTCCTAATGACCCAGCGTAACTGTCATTTACATGGTGTTTACAATGTCTTAGGACCTGATTTCAACCATCCGGGAGGCTGCACATAGGTTCTATGCAAATCCCACACCAGCAGTCACAGATTTCTGTATCCAAGGGGGTCCTAGAACCAATCACGCATGGGTATCAAGGGGCAGACATACGCATGTATAAACTCACACCCCTGACAGACCCAACAGATGTGTGATGAAACAAAGTATGATGAAGCTGGACGTTGTGGCGCACACCTGTAATCCCAGCACTAGGTAGGCTGAAACAGGAGGATCCAAACCTTAAACCCAGCCTGGCCAACTTAGTAACTTAGTGAGACTGTCTCCACAGAAAACACAGCAAAAGGAGGCCAGGGATTTAGCTCAGTGGTGCCACCACCTGCCTCACAAGCACAAGGCCCCAAGACTGATCCCTGGTACGCCCCCACCAAAAAAAGGTGTGCTTTTGCCAGGCGTCGTGGCTCACACCTGTAATCCCAGCACTCGGGAGGCAGAGGCAGGAGGGTTGACGTGAGTTCTAGGCCAGCCCGAGCTACATAATGAGTTCAGGGCCAGCCTGAACTATAAAGTGAGGCTCTGTTTAAAAATAAATAAATAAATAAAATAAAATAAGAAAATAAATAAAAACAAAGCAGAAAAGGGGCTGGGGATGTAGCTCAGTGGTACAGCACCCAGGGTTTGACTCTCCCAGTCATCCCCCACAAGAATGTTTCATGAAACCTTATTTACTGTGAACCTTTCTAATATTTTCAATTTTTTTTTCTACTTTTAATGCAAGCTACCGGCTACCAATGACTTACACCCCACATTGCTAACTCATTGTCAGTGTACAGAGAGTGCAAAGTTATTGCTGCATAGCACACAAAGGAATGACCACAATCAACATGATCTTCTGTGAGCCCTTATTACAGGCTGAACCCCTCGATCTGCCTCTTCAGCCCCCAGCAATGTCACGAGGCAGGTGCTGCCACCAGCCACCCCCACCTCACTGCAGGAGACAGGGAGGCAGCAGGGCGAGGAAGCTGCCCATGCTCAGCAGCTGCTCGGCAGTGATCCCGGCTCTGTAGCCCTGGGCATCAGGGACTGAAGAGGCTGGAAGGGAACAAGCCCCTTGCACTGCAATACGAAGGGGCCAGCATGAGGCCTGCATCCTCCTCCCCAGGGCCAGTGCTGGGACCTACCTCAGGCTGCGGCAGTCCAAGCAGCCGGGCCCCTGAGAGGTCCAGGTCGCTGACGGTGGTCACAGTGACTGTGTGGTTGGGGTGGTCATACTGCACCGACTCAGTCTTGGCCGTCACCAGCCGGTCCAGCTCATCTGCTTCCTCTGTAGGATGGGCAGAGACCAGGTCTCAGCCCCCACACAAGCAACTAGGCTCCAGTCTCCCCCAGCCCTGAGGGCAAACTAAGTAACACCGGGAGCTGATGCCTCCCTGACTTCCACTCAGTCCTTTCAGTCTTCGGAAACTCAGCTCTCTAGCTGGGCCAAGTGGCACACAGCTCTAATCCCAGATAGGCTGAGGCAGGGAGATTTTAAGTGTGAGTCCAGCCTAAGCAGTTTGGCAACTTAGTGAGGCCCCATTTCAAAATAAATTTTAGAAGAGTAAAAAAGAGGATATAGCTCAATGTGAAGGTCCTGGGTTGGGTAAATCCCCACAACTGCAAAAAAAAAAAAAAAAAATCACCTAAAGCTGGGTGCAGAGTGCACACCTGTAATCTCCACACTGCGGGATGATAAGGTGGGAGGATTGCATATTCAAGGCCAGCCTGGGTAATTTAGCAAGGATCTGTCTCAAAATAAAAACTAAATAAAAGCACTGGGGATGTAGGTAGGTCAGTGTGAAGGTTCCCTGTTCAATCCCCAATACTGCAAAAGAAATAAAAAAGAAAGAAAAGCAACTGAGCTCTGGGTTCAGGCCCAATTTACCATGAAGCCTGGGCCTCCTTTTGGCCTCTGATCCACTTGTACTTAGTGGGGCCCCAGGTCACCCCCAGGACCTCTCCAGTTGAGGAAGTCACCCGCACAGCTCTCACATCTCTCCTCTCCCACCCACGAGGAACACAGAAACCAGGCCCACTGGCTATTCTCCAGGTCAGGCCAAGCAGAGGACTCACCCAGTGCCTCCTCTCTCTCCACCAGCATCTTCAAGTATTCCTGGTGGCGCTGAAGACACACAGGAAGAAATCACGGTGAGGCCAGCATCTCAGCCCAGTCTCAGGCAGGGCACGGCTCCACTCCACAGTGGGTGAGGTCAGGAGACTCCATCCTCACCTTCCCCGGGCCCAGCCCACTGCTCCCCATCCCTGTACCATCAGTGCCATCTGGGGCTTTGGACATCCCCACTGTCCCCCACACCTCCTCTCGGAGCTTCTTCTGCTCCTCTTTCAGCCTCTGCTTAATCTCCTTGATGGCTGCCTTCTTCCGTTCCACCTTCCGCTTGTGGAAGCCAGTTAGGTATTCCCTATGCAGTGGAAGCAGGAGTGTTGAGAGGAGACAAGGGAAAGCGGGAGCTCACTCTAAGAAAAGCAGCCAATGCCACATTATGTCCTAGGCACCTTTCCATAATTCATTTAACTCTCACAACAACCTGTGTAGTCGGTATCAGTCCCTATTTTCTAGGGTCTAGGTTCCTTGCCCAAGATCACATACTTTATTAATTTTTGAGACAGGGTCTCACTATGTAGTTTAGGCCAGCCTCCAACTCTCAGCCACCCACCTGCCTCACCCTTCCAAGGGCTGGGATTAAACACATGACACCATGCCCAGGTCTCAGGCACACTTTTTTTTTTCTTTTTGGTTTTTTGAAACAGGGTCTCACTATGTAGTTGAGACTGACCTGGAACTCATTATGTAGCCCAGGCTGGTCTCAAACTCAACACAATCCTCCTGCCTCAGCCTCCCGAGTGCTGGGATTACAGGCGTGGGGCACCATGTCCAGCTGCATCTTTTTTTTTTTAAATGACAGTACCTATGTGTTTTTTTTTTTTTTTTTTTTTCTTCCTTTTTTTGGTACCAGGAATTGAACTTGGATCCTTGAGCTTGCAAGGCAAGCGGCAGAACCACTGAGCCAAATCCCCGGCCCTTCAGGCACACGTTTTGAAGCAGGAAACTGAGGACTCTGGACAGACACTCTTAGAGCATAATCACCTAGTTAATCCATAGTTGCCTAATTCTATATGGAGGGGTGGTCTCCTTGCATAGTGACAAGCATACATTCTGAGAAACAAGTTGTTAGGTGACTGCTGTTGCTCAGACATTACAGTACAATACACTGGGACAGCCACTGCCACCCAGCGGGACGGTACACCGTGATGTGGTTTTCACCGCGATGGAAATACCACAGCGTTGGGCTGGGGATTTAGCTCAGCGGTGCCACCGCCTGCCTTGCAAGTGCAAGGCCCCAAGTTCGATCCCCGGTATCAAAAAAGAAAAAAATACTACAGCGTAGGAAAACGAGGGTGCCATCTTTCCACTGCACACTCTCAGCCTCCTCAAACAAGGCCAAGTGAGAGGCACAGGGGGCCGGTGGTAACCCCTTTTAAATTGACATATTTCATTATTCAGGAACGAGGCCCCTTCTGGCACGAGTTTCAAGAACCCCTTTACCCAAGCCTCCAAAATCCTCCGCTGCACCGATAACCCTTTCTCCACCACACCTGACCCCTGAACCCAGCTGTGGGGTCCATCAGTGTCACCCCGGAGTTTCCTGGGGGATGCCTGGGAATTTCCCTCTCATCTGATCTGTGCCCCTTTTTATCTCCCTGGTGCCAGCTGCTGTTTTCATGTCCCAGCCCTGGGGTTTCCGCAGACGCGCCGCCGTGTGCCATCTGTCCCGCCAGACGCAGAGGCTCAGCGGTTTGGCTTGCGGGCCGAAAGCCTGGCAACACCGCAGGAGCCCAACGCGAGTCTCGGGTGAATGAATGAACGTAAGCTGCTCTCATTTCTTAGGCGCGTCGCTCATCAGCGGAGGCTGAGAGCCTCCTGTGTGCGAGGCCGACGACCGGGCTGGGCTGAGGCGGCCCAAGCCATTGCTCTGGGCGTGTTGGGGCGCCGGGCGGGAAGGGCAACCCCCGAAGCCACGACCAAGAGGTGGGGCCGGAAGACATCAGCGAGAGCGCGCGCGCCCCGGGTCTGGCCTCGGCTTTGCTGGGCAGCGCGAGGGGGATCCCACCCGTCCTTGCCACCCACCGCCGTTTCTCTTCATCGAAGCTGAGGACGAGTCGGGGCCGCCGGTCATCGCTATCTCTTCTCTTCTTGTTACGGCCCATAGTATCGAGGATTCCGGCGGCGTGGCTTCTAAAGTCCTAAAGGACTTCCGGGTGTAGCGCTTCCGGGCTTCCGGGTGCACCTTTCAGCTTTCCTCACAGTTCCGCTTGCCAGGCCCTGCCTTTTAAAGGAGCCGCCCAGCTTTCTTTCTTTCTTTCTTTTTTTTTTCTTTTGTTTTGTTTTTTGAGACAGAGACTCACTATGTAGTTGAGACTGACCTGGAACTCACTATGTAGCCCAGGCTGGTCTCGAACTCACAGCAATCCTCCTGCCTCAGCCTCCCGAGTGCTGGGATTATAGTCATGGGCCACTGCCTGGCTCCAGCTTGTTTCTTACTCCCTTCCGCGTATTTCTCTGGTTCCCCGCCCTCTGAGTAACTACCATCGCCTCCTTCTCTCCCAGATGGGCTCTCAAGCCCCATCGCCTAGGTCTGGCATGAGTAGGTGGTCAATATAGAGTTATCTGTGAATGGTCAAAAGAGATTAGTCCTTATTTGGTTCTGATATCAACTCGTTGGCAACTCCAAAAACAAGCCACAATGTCTGGATTTGAATACTGTGCCCACTACAGCCGTGTTTACACTACAGCTGCTTTGCAGCCTCCAAAGCCCAGGGCCCAGGGTGCCAGGCAGCTGTCTCTGTACAGCCACTTCTGCCTCCTGGCTGCTACCTTAGCACCTTCCCTCTGAGTAGAGGCATCGCCCCGTCTGCAGCAGTGATGACCCCTAAGGGTGCTCAGAGGGGCCACATTCTGCAGTTGGGCTGCCTCCTAAGCACCAGGCTCCAGTGCCCATCCAGATGCCAGCCGATAAAAATCGAAGGCTGTGGTGCAGGGCTGGATAAACCAGAAACCTACCTGTGTCTGTCTCTCTCTCATTTGGGATTTGTTTGTTTCTTTCTTGCTTTGTAGTCCACACTTGGGTAGAAACCTGCTCCTTTTTTTTTTTTTTTTTTTTGTACCGGGGATCAAACTCTGGACCTTGCTCTTGTGAGGCAGGCGTGAGAACCACTGAGCTAAGTCCCTGGCCCCCCACTTCTCTTTTCTCCCCCTTCTTGAGACCCTTCTCTCTCTACCCATCATCTGGAAAAACTTCTGTGCCAAAGTTATACTGTTTATGGGTGAGGACTCTGAGGCTCAGAGAAGGACACGGATTTGACAGAAGCTTCTCAGCAAGTGGGATCAGAGCCACTCCCCTGACTCTGCCATCTACATCGTGTGGCTCTGCCCTCTCAGGCTTCTGGTATGGCACAGAGACAGGACCAACAAGGAGGCAGAGACTCGAACCAGACCACAGCTGGGGAGCGCTGCAGGGCAGGCAATGTGTCTGTCCAGCCTTAGGTGTGGCCCAGAAGGGTTCAGGGAGGCCCAGGCCAGCTCCTAAGTAGAGTGGAGGCTGCCACCTGGGTCTGCTGCTGCTCCAGACCTTTCCTAGCGCATCTCAGGGCCCTTGGGCCCCAGGAAAGAAGATGTTTCTTAATTTAATGAGCATCTACTGTGTTCCAGGCACAGCAAAAGATGGCCCATTCTCTGAATAGAAAAGATGAAGATAACAAATCAATAGCTGGGTGTCGTGGTGCACACCTGTAATCCTAGCACTTGGGAGGGTGAGGCAGGAGGATCCCTGTGAGTTTGAGGCCAGCCCAAGCTATATAGTGAGCTCAAATTCAGCCTGAACTACATAGTGAGACCCTGTGTCAAAAAAAAGAAAAGAAAAGTGAAGAGGACCAACATTACAGAGCATCCGCCAGCTTCCGGGCACCATGCCTTTCTACGCTTTATCTCAGCTCATCCTCACAACTCCACGGGTTAGACACTAGTACTTTACTGACTCAGTTTGACAGACAGGAGGCTCAGAGATGTTGAGTAACTGGCCCAAGTACACCCAGGAATTGAGCTGGGATTTAATACCGTGGCCTTCCCTTTCCTGCGTAGAATTGTGTGTCCTAGGGCCGGAGATTTAGCTCAGTGGTTTCGCCGCCTGCCTCACAAGCACAAGGTCCCGAGTTCGAACCCTGGCACAAAAAAAATTGTGTGTACTGGAGTATAAGTGGGTGCTCAGCCAGCCTAGCGGGGATTCAGTGTAGGAAAATTTGAGTGGCAAGAAAGCCTAGGAAACACTTCCTTTAATGTCCAGCAGAGGGCGACCTCTGCAGCCAGGCTGCTAAAGCTGTTGCTTTCTGGGTGGCCGCCAGGGAGCCCCAAAGGGTGGGATGTAGCTCATGGGACCTTCCTCAGCTTGTGTGCTTCATCCTCTTTGGCCCCCTCTTCATAGGGCTGGTAGTGGGGCGCCAGGCCTGTCACCCACTCCTGAGTACCCAGTATTCTGGTTTAGGGGAAGACAGAGCCCCCAGCTTTCAGGCCAGCCTCCTGGTCGTACTTAAATTCCAGAAAAGGGGTAAATGACCAGCAGCCACGAAGCTAGGGACCTGGGGGAAACCTCTCAGGCTTAGTTGGGCCTAGAATGTTTTGATTTTTCCCCCCAGTACTGGGAATTGAACCCAGGACCATCAAACTGAGTTTCATCCCCAGCTCCCTTTGTTTATTCTTCTACGACAGGTTTTCAACAAATGGCTAAATTGCTCAGACTGGGTTCATACTTGCAACCCTCCTGACTCACCCTCCTAAAGTGTTAGGATTACAGGTGTGCCTGGCATTAGGACTCATTATGTCACACAGAGCCCATTTTCTCCCCTTCACATTGGAGAAATGACATCTCAAAAGGTAGTGGAAAAACCATTATCCATTCCCTGAACATTTACCATATGACAGGCACTGAAGTTGGCCTCTTTAATGTAACATTTCTTTTTTTGTTTTGAGACAGGGTCTTGCTATATAGTCCAGGCTGGCCTCAAACTCATGATCCTCCTGCCTCAGCCTCCTGAGTGCTGGGATTATAGGCACATACCACCACATCTGGCAACACCTCATTTAATCTCTGCAAAACCCTAGCATAGGCTGTATCACCCCCACCCCTTGTATAAATGTGGAACCGAGGCTCTGAGGGGTCAATTAACACACACAGAGTACATAGATGGAAACCCCTTATCTGACTCCAGGTCTTTAAAATTTTTTCCTTAAGAAGTAGTGGCCACACAGTACCTGCCTTGCAAATGCAAGGTTCTGAATTTGATCCCCAGTACCAAAAAAAAAAAAAAAAAAAAAAAAAAAAAAAAAGGGC